GACGGGGAGTCTGGGGAGAACGCGGGGTCCATGCGGGGGACTCAGAGAGTATTGGTGCGTTAGGAAGGACCGTCGGGTGCAGGAAGTCTGGGGGGGCTCAGGGGGTCTGAGAGGATTCGGAAGGGGACGCGGGGGTGTTCTGACTGGGGTACAGGGTCAACTGAGGCAGCGAGTGCCGGGCAGGGCTGGGGGATGCAGTAGCACAGGCGGGTTTGAGGTACCGGGGTGCTGGCAGTGTCGGGGTGCCGAGGTGCGGGAGGAGCCGCAGTACCGGGGTGCTGGATGTTCGGGTGCCGGGGTGCTGGCAGTGTCAGGGTGCCGAGGTACGGGAGGAGCCGCAGTACCGGGGTGCTGGATGTTCGGGTGCCGGGGTGCTGGCAGGGTCGGGGATGGATGGCACTGGCAGTTCGGGGTGCCAGGGTTCAGGCAGGGTTGAGTTGCTGGGGTACCAGGGTGTCGAGGTGCTGTTGGTGCTGATATTTGGGGTGTCGGGTGCCGGGCTGATGACAGTTTGGGGTGCCAGCGGAGCAGCCCACACCCCCACCCGACGCTGCCGGAGCCGCGCTAATGAGGGSTTGGCTCAGGGGAAGCAGCGGTCGCGCTAATGCGGAGCCGAGCCGAGTTCCCCACGGCCTCTCACAGCCCCCCACACCTCCTCACGGATTGTGCACTCCCCGGACCCCAGACCTGGCGGCGGGGAACGCTGGTGCCAGCCACGGAGTGGGAGGGGGCAGAAGATCACTGGCTGGCACCCACCGCCCCAGCATGGAGCTCCTGGCACGCTGCCGCGCTGCTCTGCCAGCCCTGCTCCGCCACCGACTCCACACGGGCTGCCACGGCCGGAGATAGTGCGGCTTTGGGGGCTCCTGGATTCATCCCGGTCCTGATCCAGGCCCGGTTTGTGGTCCTGGTCCCAGACACGGATCAGAGCAYTTACTCCGCACCCCTTTACCTCAGYTGCCCCAGCTCTCCCAGTGTGCCCATCCAGTCCCTATGTCCCCCTGCCTAACTAGAGCATCTAAACCTGGCTCCGTGCGACACCGGCGGAGCCGTCCCGGTACCSTCGGTGCCAGTCCCGGGCCGCGCACCGTGTGTGGCCGGGTCCCGGTACCCCCGGAACCCCAGTGGGAGCAGCAAGAGCCCCTCCCGGTACTGGGACGCCTGCGGGCAGAGGCTCCGGACCAGCCCCCGCCCCGCCGCCCGCCCACTCGCTGCCCGCCCCTCCGGGGAGGCGAGAGCGCGGCGGGGCCGGTGACCCCGGGCTGGGGAGGGTCCGGTCCCATCTGTACCTGCCAGGAGCCATCCGGGGAGGGGCGGGAGGGTGCGGGGGTCACAGCGGGGCCAGCGCGGCCCTGCGGCGGGGCAGCATCGCTTTCTGCCGCCGCCGTGAGGAACATCGGCACCCCGGAACCGGCACCGCGAGCCCCGGCCGGACGAGGAGTGGGTTCCGTGGGTGGCTCCGGCRCGGGGACCGAGGGCAGAGAGCCCGGCCCGGGGGTCCCGGCAGCCGGTGCTCCCGGAGCTCATCCCCCCACCCCAGCCGGGCACGCGCGAGGCCGCGGATCCATCTTCCCGTTAATAATTGATGGCGGGAGCCGCCGGGGCTGCGCGGGGCTGCGGGGCCGAGGCTTTTAGCTCAGCYCTGCTCAGATATTCAGCTCCATTTCCGCGGCGGGGCCGGGGCGGCTCCTTCTGGGAAGCGCTGCCGGGCGCTTTCCCGGCCGGACCCCTCGTTGGGGCTGAGGCTGGACACACTTCTGACCGCAGAGGAGCAGGGCAGCAGCGTTAGGCTCCCCCTGGTCAGTCCCACTGCCCCGCGGCCGGAGCCGAGATCCTGTCCTGGCGTCCCCAGGGCCAGAGCTGCTGTCCTGGCCCCACGTGGTGGTTCATGACCCCATAGGGGCTCTGAGGACAGTGGACAGTGGAAGGGGAGGCTGCCARCAGGTGCCAAGGTGGACAAGGTGGGGAAGGGGCTGTGGTGTCGTGGGTACGGGTCCACCAGGGTGGTCAGACGTCCCTGGCAATGTGGGCAGGGGTCCCTGTCAAGCAAACAGGGATCCCCCAGGGAAGGCAGGGGACCCCCAGGGCAGAGAGGAGTCCCTGTCAGATCGGGCAGGGGTCTTCCAGGAAAGATAAAGGTCCCCAGAGGGTGGGCAGGGGTCCCTCGTTAGTCGCTCTGAAGTGGGCAGGGGTCCCCACAGGGCAGCGGGGGCTGGGCGCTCATGGACTGAGCTCCTGTCTAATGCACCGAGTACATCTGCAGAATCCAATTAACCTTCGATAACGAGGCCCTGAGCGAAGTGGCTGTCAGCGGCCACCAGCCACCGGCACACTGTGGCCCCCCGGCGGGCACCAGCCCACCAGGATGGGCAGCGCCGGCACCTGCAGCCCCCAGCAGCCCCGACTGGTGTCGGACCCCGGCGAGGTGGGAATGGGGTACACGGGCACCCCGAGGGCACCCGGCGTGGGAGAGGGTAGCGGTGTGCCCAGCCCTGCGTCCCGTGGCTCCTGGACACTGATCCCACTGACCAGCGGGGCTGGAACTGCCCATTCTGCAGGCAAACGGGTGCGGGCACCCATAGCACCCCCTCCTGCCCCCCTCCACACAGCCCGCACCCCACCGAAGGCCTTGGGGCTCAACTTGAGCCCCGCTGGCATCGGAGCTGGCCATAGCGGGTGCCCCCCACCTGCAGGGCTCCCCGGGACCCCCCCTCTCCAGGGAGGTGCAACCACTTCACTGCAGCTCCGCTCTGATCCCGCTCGCAAACCGCGGATTTGGGGCCGTGAAGGGGGGAAGGTGACGGGAGTGACCCCCACCCCCAATCCGGGCCCGCAGCACCCCGCGCCCCCACCCCAGGAGCTGCAGCCCGGGGGTGTCTGGGGGAGCGCCCCCCCAGCAGCCGGGGGTTGGCGTCACCGTGCAGCCGCCCCCGCATCCATGTGGCACCGGCTCCTCCCCGAGGACACCGCGCAGACGCCGAGGGCCACCGTGACGTCCGAGCGGGCGACTCGGCCGTCGGGTCCCCGGGAGCCCGCGGGGGCCATCCGCKGCCACAGTGACCYCATCCCAACCCCATCCCGGTGCCAYCYTGGCCCCATCCCGACTCTGTCCCATCCCCATCCCGGCCCCATCCGTTCTCATCCCAGTGCTCCCGGCGTGTCAGCCGGGTCGGGGTGGGCACCGCGCCCACCGGCTGCTGCCGCCTCACCCCGCGCACCCCGTCCGGGTGCCGGCGCCCGCGGCGGGCGGGCGGCGGGGGGCACCGGGAGTGTTTCATGCGGTTAAGAAGTGTCTGATTGAGGCAGGAGGCGCCAGCAGCTCCCCCGGGAGCCGCAAGCCAAGGACTGGAGGACCAAATGCAGGCTAAAGTAATCCAATCTGGGCTGGTTCATCTAATTAGCCCAGAATTAACCCAGCAGCCAGAGAGGAGCTGACTGTCCCTCCAGTTTGCCAGCGGGTTTGGGGGGAAGCGGGAGGAAGAAGGGGACGTCCAGCGGTAATGAGATTACGGGGGGGAGCGGGCGGGAGCGGGCGGGCGGCAGCCTCTGGCCGGTGGGAACGTGGGGCCCTGCCAGGTCCCCGCCGCGCCATCGCCGTGATGGCCGGGGCACCGGGGGCAGGCAGGGACCCGTCCCAGCCACCGCCGCCCCGGCAGCAGCTCCCGAGCCCGCGGCGTCCCCGTGGAGGACGGGGACACCGGCACGGCCGGCACCGGGGATGTGGCACCACGCAGCTGCACCGGCAGCCCCAGGGCCGCGGTGGGGACGGAGCAAGGAGCCCCGGCAGCTTCGGGCAGCACCCCCGTAATGGGGCGGGCAGGGGCCAGACCCCACGGGTGACYCCCCTGCTCCCAGCATGGCTGTGCCGAGGGGCGCGGAGGGCGCGGGGCGGGGAGGTGCTGGTGCAGCTCTGGCGGTGGCAGGGCATGGTGGCACAGCGGCTGAGGGCTCATTCCCTCCTGGAACTGGGTAAATGTCCCTTTTTCTGCCGTGTCCCCTCCAGCTGTCGCTGCCACCCATGAGGACCGCCAGGGCTGGGAGGGGGCACACACTGGGGACACGGAGTCCCTGCTGTGGCCGAGGAACGGAGAAGGGTTTGTACTGCACATTGTGGAGTCTCGGGCGCGAGGACCCTGCCGGGTGCCCGCGGTGGCTCTGGGGACCCTGGAGCAGGCACAGGCACACCCTCCTTCCCGGTGGCCCAAGAGTCACTGGGAAGACAGAGCCAGTGGCACAAGGTGGTGACAGTGAGGGGCCCGTGGCCAGCGGGGTCTGTGGGAGGGGGACACCCTGCACCGACAGCGAGAGTGGGAAGGGACTTTTGACTCTTCGAGCACTCCTCAGTTCTTCCCTACGCCCTCCCGGGGCAGCTCTGGCCGTGGTGCTGGAGGGTGCGGGCAGGGGGGCTGCTCGGGCCGGGGGTGCCGCCCGCAGACCCCCGTGGGCATGGGGCGGGCCCTGGCGCAAACAGGCGCCGGGTGAGCCCGCATTGCCCCCGGCCCCGTCACAGCCCCCCAATCCATCTCCCAGCCCGGCAGATTCCAGCCCCTGGGCACGGCAACATCTGCCTCCTGCTCCGGGTTCAATTAACCTGCTGCCGCCTCCTCCTCCGGCACCGGCCATTTCCTCCCGCTGCCACTGTCACCGCCACTGCCGCCACTGTCACCGCTGTCGCTGCCACTGCCACCAGCATGGCTGCATCCCTCGGGGTCACAGCGGGTCCCTTTGCCGCAGCAGGCCCGGAGCCGGTGGCTCTTTCCAGGTGGAAAAGCCGCAGTGAGCACACTGGGATTTGTCCCGGCACCTGCGGGGCTGCGAGCAGGAAACGCCAGAAAGCCGCGACCCCACTCAGAGAAGGGTCCTGGTGTCGTGTCCCCCTCCCCTTCCGGATACCGTCGGTACCCCRGTGTGGAAAGGGGCAGCTCGGCCGTGCCCGGTGCTGTGGTGAGACGCGGGCACGGCTGCCGGGCACGGCACGAGGGTGGAACAAGCGTGTGCCCGTGCAGCCCCGGTGCCCGCACCGCGGCACAACTGCGGCTGCAGGGTCGGGCACCCACACTGTGGTGAGCCTGAGACCACCCGGTGCCCTCCGGTGCCTGCGGTGCCCTTGGGATCTGAGGTGCCCCGGGGTGTGCAGTTTCCCCGGCGCCCCCGGGGCGTGCCGTGCTCGCGGTGCGGCAGCTGCAGCCCCCGGTGCCGCCGTGATTTACAGGCGCAGGCCCCGGTAATGTCATTTGCCCCAGACCGGTGGCGCCAGGGTGCCCGGGAGGCCGTCCCCGCCCCGCCAGCCCCTGTCCCGGGGCCGTGACCCACCCGGGAACCGCCGGGACCCACCCGCGGAGCCGACGCGCCGTTGTCCAGATAGTCGTTGGAAGACCCGGCCCGGCCAGTGCTGCTTTCCATTGCCGTTACCACCCGCCGACGGGGCCGGGCTGGGCTCTGTGACCGGGAAAGGCGGGGCGGGGGACCGGGGTTCATCACAGGGAACGGCGGGCCGGGGGCCGGGGTCTATCTCCGGGAATGGTGGGGCTGGGGATCTCGGACTCCCTCACGCTGAGCACACTGGTCCGTGGARAATGGGGTCCGTGCTACCGGGAACGGCAGGTCCCGGGGAACCGGGATTCATGGCCCGGGAACTCAAGGTCGGYGTGGGGTCGGTATCCCGAGAAAGGCGATTTYCTGGGAACCGAGTTCCCTGCTGCCRGCAACGGCGGCTCGAGGAGATCGGGATCCATGTACCGGGATGTGTCTGTGTTCCGGGAACGGCGGGTCAGAGCAACCCCCGTGTCCCCGCATCGGGCACAACGGCTCCGGGTCCGCCAGATCCATTCGCTACCGTATGGACGCGATCGGCGGGAACCGGGCTCGGTGCGAAGCCTGTGCAACCCAGGAGCCGATCCGTGCTCCCCGGGGTAACGGCGCTGGGGCAGGGTCCGCTTCGTGCGCCCGGGTGGGGCGGCTGGAAGCGCCGACGGGGCTGCGGACGGAGCGGGGRCACAGAAGGGCGCCGCGCTGCTGCCCGGTGCGGCAGCGGCCCCGGTGGATCGGG